TCTTGCGACATGGCAGGACTCAGGAGAGGTCTTCCTGGCACCTAGCATTTTGTATATAGACGATCAGACCTGGCCTGAGGGCAGGCACAGGTAGATAGACCGATCCATGACCTATTCACGATCCTGCCAGTCCAACATTTATCTAGTAAATAGCTATTCCGTAGTATAATAGCCTATATCGATATGTCTACAAGACCTCAGGGGGACTCGCGGAGCCTACCCAGTGCCACTCCGGCCAGGAACTGCTGTTCCAGCCGGGAGTAGACCTAGTCAATCCCCCAGGTTGACATTCAACGCCTCAACCTGGGCGCGATCGCCCGTGCCTAGCGCCGCGGCGCCCCAACCTGTGCCGCAGTTTGGTAGACTTACTGCTGAGGAGGCGCAATCGGTTGCTCTCCAGGCGCTCAGGGCGAGACCTGCCACTGAGCGATCCCAGACCTCGCGGAGCTCGCAATGGCTATTCAAATCGCAGTTCCTTGAGGATGAGGATGAGTTTAACTCATCCCCAGATCTAGATGAGTCAAACAACTCGATATCTAGCCATTCTCGCCAGATATCGAAGCGGCCACGGAGTGGTGGTGTTATTGTGGAGGCAGTTGCGGAGGATAAAGATATAGCTATCCCACCACCTTCGCATCAACCACAGACTATAGAACAGCGCAAACGACATAAAAGGACCTCAACAACAAGGCAAACAGAGTCTCCTGATATAGAAGTCTTTGAAATGAGTAAGGTTTTGTTCAAAATCATCACATCTGTGATGGTTGGAAGGTCTCTTGAACTGTCCGCAGAGGACGAGGGTACTCAAATGTTCGATATCAACGTCATTATCCACGCCTACCAACGACGCCTCGAAACCAAGTATCCACCTAGCCGGTTCCATCTCAACCCTCCTGCCTTCGGCGGAGAGCTTAGTTTATCGATTTCAGGCAGGAACCAGTTCAAACTGAACTGCCAGAACGACGAGGACTTCGAGAGGTTCGCGAAGCGATGGTGGGAGGTCCTCCAGGAGCCCAGGCGCCAGAGGCACACAATCCAGGTCTCTCTGACTATTCGCTTCGAGGCCAGGCCAGTTACGCCTCAGCCGTCTATCCTGGAGGAGTAACACAGGCCAGGCGCCGGCACGACGAGGAACAACGATCGAGACCAAGCGCTAGCCAGCGCCAGCGCCAGCGCCAGTCAATCGCAGCAAACGAATCGCTCAATGTCGCCACTGGCGATGTCCAGATATTTGAGCTGACTACCAAGTGGAAGTGCCAGAGCGATCGCTGTCCTAAGTACGGCAGAACCTGCCTACCTACAGACGAGGGCCATATCCGCATCGACACTCCGTCTATTTGACAGTGGTTCGACTCGATCCGCAAGGGCATCGCAATGATCGAGGAGATGCCAGGTTCGTTACTCCTAAGACTCATCAAGGACAAGAGTAACCATATGAATAAAAAGGCTATCAAAGCCGCCGTAAATGGAACGCAAATCGCGTCGAATGGTGGTGGTGTTCATATCCAGTTTTTTCAGGGGTCTGGCGATGCCACAGCTAAGACTGACCGCGATCAACAGTCAAGCCCTCCTTTCCGGCCTGGCGACGACGATAACAACGTCATTCTCTACCTCGACGGGCTCGGTAGGCGTTATCCTAGCTATAGGGCCGAATTTGGCGAGATCAAAGGCATTCTGCAGGCCGAGGGATGGGGGTTCTCAGATCTTCGCACAATCACAGATTCTGCCTGGGAACGTATGGAGAATAGGGCTAGGTGTTTGCGGTAAATCTTGGGTAGCTTATCAGCAGGATTTCCGTATTCTTTACCTTGCAACGCAATATCCACGTCTTCGGGATCAGCTGCGAGACAGCTTAACGAAGCTGCATAAAGGGCATGAGGCCTAGAGTCAGGGTCATCAGGATCTCCGCGGGGATCTCGGTGTTCCTTCGTCCTAGGAATGAATAACTGGGTGAACTCAATTTTGCTCTTCTTGAGTAGCTTACAAAGCTTACTCAAGGAGATACTCTTGCATTCGACTCCGTCGATAACCAGGTCTCTCAACGGGCTAGGAGCACCTTGGGAGCTGTAGACTGTACTCCGTACACGTTTGCCCACAAGGCAGACAGGACGAGCAATGTTCGGGAGAAAAGGTAACGCCGAGACGCAAAGTCCCGGCTTCACCTTGTGTTGGGTCATCCACGATAAACCAAGGATCAAGGAGTAACCCATCTCCGGCATAACATAAAAACGGATGCGCTCGTAGTGTTGCCCAATCACCATGTCCAATTCAGCGAAGTGGTTAACTTCGCTGTGGCGATTGTCGGCGAGCTTGCATCCTCGTGGTTTGTTCAGCGGTTGGATGCAATCCAATAGTTTGTTCCGTTCCAGAAGCGCTTACTCACGAAGCACGCGTTTACTCCAGTATCAAGTACAGCTTCGCACTTTGCTGTCATCATAGGAAGGATAGGAGATTCAAACGGACGTTCAATCTGGGATGGCGGTAAGGGCCGTGGAGTTCCTAGAGTGCAATCCAGGAGAATAAGATCTGCTTCCGTCACTTGCAACTTCCGTCACTTGCAACGCCATGAGCTGAAGTGATGGTTTATCGCGCTCAGGAGAGGGGCGTCCTAGGTCGTGCGAGCACTCACAGGACTAATCTTTTCCCGATTGTTCTAGCGGATCGTCCTCTTCGGACACCAGTGGAAGAATCCTCGGGATCGGTGATAGTCTGATAGTCTTCTTCGACGAAATCGTCCAGCTCCACCACGTCTAAAGCTGCGAGGCCCATATCTTTCTTCCACTTGACAAGTCGGCAGTCAGGTTTCTTGGGCCGACATCCCTTAGTCCCACAATTAAAGCACTTATCGTCTTTCTTGAGCTGGTTTAGGACTTTTGGGTCGGACAAATCGGGTGCCCAATCGGGATGGGGGGCCTTTAGAGAAGTAGATTTATCCTTTGTCGGAATCGTCTTGGTCCTCGTGGTCCGGGAGCATCGCAGTATTGCTGCAGGATGCTGGAGCCGCAGAGAGTGAAATTGATTGGAGACTCTGCTCCTCGAAATGTAGGGACGGTTCCGTTGACAAAAATAGAGACCCATTTTACCTTCGACATGACTACCGAAGAGCCGCGCAGCATCTTTTGTTTAGTTTACCGGACAGTGTCCCCACTGGCCATTTTGTCCGTGGCGGAAATTGCCTTGAGAGAAGGTTCTCCCCGAAAAGGCCATTCACAGCAGCTTTAGCCATCACTTTCCATCAGAAGAATGGATTGGAAGACCACAATCTATCGATCTCGTCGGCGGTCTACGTGAAGAGGTTCTTTTGGTAGAAAGGTCGTAGATTTCGCAAGGCCCTCGGGGCGATCCAGTCCACGTTCAGTCAGGATGAGATCGCCTCTACATCATCCTTAGCCCGCACATTTGTCCTCTCAAACAATACGATAGAGAACGTTGGAAAGGGGCGATCTTGGGCGAACCCGCCGCTGTGCGAATGTGTTTTCTAGCTTTCAAGCAACATGAACACTCTTAGCGTTGGCAAAATCATTCTGCAGCGTTGGTTTATGCCCGACACAGGATGGGGCATCGCTTGTACAGCACAAGGCATATGGCCTCACAAAGGGCTGGAGCGCAGCTCAGCGGTTGGTCAGGATTCAGGGGCTCCAAATTGAGGCAGCCAATCCTACGGGGGCACGTATTAAAACAACTGCAATTGGGGGAGATCGTTAGCACTACCATACATTCAAAAGAGTTTTCCTGGTGGGGCGGCGTGTTTCTAAAATAAAAATAAAAATAAAAATAAAAA